TCTAGTATAGGGTAGCAAAATTCAGCTGAACTAGCTCTGGTATAGGCTAAGGGTTCCAGGGTCCAAGCGGAATATCTCCACCCAGAAATTCCCAAAGTACTTCCCCCGGGGCCAAAGGATCGCAACATTTTTGGGCGCAACATGTTGCGTGCATTTGGGCACCTTGTTGCGACGTGTCGCGACATGTTGACTGTTGTTGGCTCAAGTTTGAAAATACCCAGAATGTCGCAGCACGTCGCAACAGTGGCTTGCGCCCAACAATGTTGTAATAGGTTGCGTTGAAATGTTGCGACAAAATTCCAATTTTTCAAGGACTCAATGCACTAAAAAATAATACCATTAGAATGTGACACTAGATGCTCAATATGTGGAAACAGTCAAACAACAAATTCTCAAAGGATTTTCCAGGACCCTCACGAGCTTTCGAGGCCTTTAATTTGGCTTTCCAATTTCAAGGACATTCAAGTTTCGTGCTAACTCTGTTTACATTTGATGAATCGAAGGCACACGTTCGTGTAGGACAGTCGGTGGGCAAACAAGACAGAGCTTAAATTTATGTCATCATTCTGTGACTGTAAAATAGTTCTCCTTTGATAGCTTTGCAAAGGAACGATGAGAATAACGAGGGCCTAATTGCACGGCGAAAAATTGTCCCTAATGAAAATGTCATGATTCTTCATTCAAAGCCATCCTTGGTTAGAGGACTCTACAAGCAGACACACTCACTTCCCAACCCGCTTCCACGCGTACGGTCAAAACATTTTAAACAATTTATTTGGAACAATCCTGCTAGGTAAGGAAAAGAATGCATACGAGCCGAGTGGCCCATCGGGCCGGAGCCTATCCCAGTTTCGGTAGCATGAAGCGACTAGGAGTATTTCTACTCCTCCCTGGATGGAATGCTAGTCCGTCGCAGGGTTACCCCCAGCGTTAAGTTTGCGGGTACCCATTTATACACCTGGGTGGAGAGAGGCACTGTGACAGTAAAGTGTCTTGCCAAAGAACACAACAAAATGTCCCCGGCCAGGGCTTGAACTCGGACCGCTCGATCCGGAGACCCGCGCACTAACCGCGAGGTCACCGCGCCTCCTTACAATCCTGCTAAAAGATAAAAAATTACCTGAATTCTTCAAAGCGGCTCTTCATTGAAAAACAATTGGAGAATAATTCTTGTACTAGGAAGGCAAAGTCACTCTTTATTCGTTCCCGAAGTTCCTTTTCCTAACACCAATTAGAAATGGAAAAAAAAAGAGTGCAATGTTAATATTGTGAAAAGAAGAGAGGATAAGGGAAGAGAAAGCCACGAGTTATGTCGAGTATGTCTACAAGAGAGAAAGTGTCTAGATATTACTTACTTGATTCATGAGAGATTCCCGCATCTCGGCAATCTTAGCTCGAAGAGCAGTGATTTCTGGAAAAAAAAAAAAAGATCACAGACGTTTTTCTCACGCTTCAAAAGACAATATTAATCAAAAATTTCTGTCTCGTCCTTCGCTGTTTCTGAGATCAAAATGTTCAGCTCGAACTTCAAACAAGAGAAAGGAATTTCAAAACGCCGGTTTTGCGTTTACATGCGGATGGAAAACATTTTGAAAAAGGAGTTTTACAAAAATGTTAACCTCGCGATAATAATCTTGTGATTTCCCTGCCTCAATTTCCCTCGAACACAAATCCAATAAGACCGGCGATTGTTGCGTTTTCAAATTTCTCCGGCGTAGTGTGAACGGAAAACATTTGATGCACTGTCTTGGTGAAAACGCCGTCTTTAAATTTCCCCGGCGTAATGTGGACGGGGCCCAAGAAATGTTCTTAAGTTTGAGGATCTCCAGATGTCCTCTTTGGTGTGAACGAACCACTTTTATGTGCGCAAAATTATAGATGAAATTTCATTGTAAAAACGGCGCGAATCCGAACTGCATCCGGCAATGTCAGCCGAGACTATCCGAAGAATATCCGAAGAATACTCACCAAGGAGTTGTTCGTGACTTCGATCCGCTAACTGACAGTGGACGTCAACGATGGTTGCCGAGCTGTTAGCTTCTATTGTATCTTTATGCTGTTTAATCTCCTACACAAAGTTACAAAAAATGAAAATTGACTACAAGTCTGTTCGTAATTGTAAGGCGCCCTTATCTATTATTTTTTTAACTTGTGCAGATGTTCAGTTGCTTAGTTGTCTGTACAAAATCAAATTAGTAGTCGTCGAGTTATTCACTGCCACAACGCACAAGCTTAAAACTTATCACCTTTGTGTATCTATTATTTTTCTCGCCTTCCGGTGCATTTGCCGAGGGCAAAACGAATTCGACACAGAGATTTAAGTGGCAATGTTACAATGTATAGGGAAATTTTATCGGTATCAAACGTAGATTGAAGTTGTCTAAACGCAACTCAGGGTTGTCTTACCTGTTCCTTCATGTATAACAACTGGTGTTGATGACGTAACAAGTTCTCGTAGTACATGGCATAACTAGAATGGAAAACATATAGATATTAGGCATGTATCAACGGATGAATCTTAACATATTTATGTAGTAACAACGTACTTAAAAGCATCAACTTTCGTCAGCGGCAAAAAGTAAAATTCTTGATAAAAATCGAATTTGCAAATTTTGGTGGAAGTTTTTCGCACAATTCTTGGCATAACATGGGAAAATATTCCCACTTTCAACCTTTTCAATGGCTTGCAAAAATATCTCCTCTTTACCACTATCCAGAACAGTCTTAAGACTACCTTAACCTGGACTCAGTATCCATTGTTGATATCAATCGAGCATTCCAATTTTCCCTGTATTCTACTCTTATCTTGGCCGCACTAATCATGTTAGTCTTGTCTACCGACTGTGACACGCACTTGTTCGATCTGAGTATTGTGTTAGCTTAATCAATTCTATACTCAAGCTTACTGATTGACTGATCACTTAACCTTCACCTAACCTCTTCGCGCCAAGAGGCGCATAAGGCCTCTCTATTGGAGGATCACTATTCTCGACTAAATTGCCTAATCTACTCTTACTAGCTCTGTCTGGCACGGTTCAAACTCGTCTCCTCTTCTCTTCCTGTCTAGATCTGAGATTAACAATGGCATCGCATGAACCAGTCCTGTACCGATGCTATCATAACAGATAAAACCTATAAATGACACAAAACGAAACAATTACATCGTTATTACACGCAAAGCTAGCCCAGTCCCAACGCGTTCTCGTAACGTGACGTCGCTGAATGGCTCCCATCAAGTTTTCTCGCTCTGGTCCCAGGCCGTACGCGCTCATCAAAAGATTATAGACACCTATGTACTATGGTGACGCAACTTCATAGCCAAACATAATTAAATAGCCTAGAAAAGCACAGTACCTTTCGAAACAATTTCTTTCCCTCAGCATTGTTTCAGAAGCTAGTTTAACGAGGCATTTTTCCAAATGATCCTGAAAACAATCAAAACATTAAAGTAATGATAAACATTGAAATAATAATAAACAAAACAGGCTAACGAGAAAAAAAAAAGAATCGATGTTTGTATTGAAAAAAACAAGGTCAGGTCATTCACATAAATGCGTGGAATCAATGCGTTCCTAAGTGTTCAAGTTAAAGAGCTCAGTCACGGCATTTTGAGCTTTTGGGGACCGTTAATTTTTTATGAGGTAGGGGGGGCTGGTGGGATTTGGGGGGG